GTAACACGTTGCCCGGCTATCTCAGTCGACGAAAATTCATGACATCATCAACTGGTTTGCCATCAATCGCTAATACATTGTGTGTAACCTCACTATTACTTACCTGATGATCCCAGCAGATGCTGGAAACATTTCTAAGACATCTGTGATTAAATATTAGTAACTTACGAGTATCTTCTACTCTTAATGGCCACATTTTGCAGCCATAAAGTAGAACAGAACAGACTGCTGCTCATTATACTCGTCTTCGCCATAGGTGACATTAGTTGGCGAGAGCCAAACGAGTTCTTTGAATCTGTGAAAAGATTTCGTCGGACATCAGTCAACCAAATTAACATAAAAATGTTTATCTCAAGGGAAATTTAATGAAATCGCTTAACAGGAAACATGGAAAATACATCTTTATTACCTGCTCACATCTACATATGAAAGTATAAAATCCAGTTGTCTTTATGAAAAAAATTTGTATTCTATCTGCAATGCTAAATCTGTGTTAATCGTATATATAATCTAAATAATTACCACTTATAATTGAAAATTTTATTTTCACTATTCCAAGTTACCATTGATATCTTAATGATGATAAAATAAACAGATATAAATGTGAATTCGTAATTCATTTAGAATACAATAAACAAAGTAATTGAAACTATGGGTTATAATTGTTCAACATTTATCGATCTTCATTCTATTGTAATTTATATATTTGAATGTTTCATTCTAGACTCTAGCTATTGTTTGTTAATTTTGACAGGACACTTAAAATATAGTAAAATGTTGTAAACTACTATGAATAATAATGACTGAAATACTAATAATTTTTAATATTCATTAACTAGACAATAGTCTGGTAAAATATTTCTGTTACAAAAGACTTTGTATTGTTATGGAAACATAATAAAATTCATAATGCTCAAAGTATTTTACCTTAGCCATGTAATCATTATACAAGATTATAAGTTAAACCAAACAACCAAAATAATTGTATGCTACGTAAAGATGATTATTAAAGATGGTTTTCGCAACGTTACAATATGTTTACTTTTCTTGGATTAAGGTTAATGTTCTGAGAGTGATTGGAAAAACTTATTTCGGTGGAAGACGAAATGTGTAGTAGTTAATGATTTCGGAAAGTAATTAGTAATGTCAGTGTCTAGAATCTTATCCTGTTTCTGATCAGAGATAAATTCTGCTACAAGATTAGATAAGAACTCACATCATAGTGAATAAGAGGCAGAAGTTTTACTATTAAACTCTTCAAGTGTAAATTATCTACTGCTTAGAAATGGATAAATTACTTTGTTCAATAAGCTAATTGATAGTTTATTGATAGAGTCATTAACTTCAGCACTGAATGTTGAGGACTTGATGAGTTTCTTTCAGACTGAAAATCAGTTAGTCATAAGCATCGTAGCGCCTGAAGAAATATTCTTAGTAGCAATGTTAGCTAAGAAGACCAAACATTAAGAATATTCTTCAAGAATGAGGAATGAAAGAGTTTGTATGAAAGAACACTGGAAGGAGATAAATAGTAAATGCATCTGTATCAGTGTGACCAATTCTGGGGTACGTTACCTGACGTCGCCGACTACAGCTTGACTGTAGCTGGTATCATGGTACAGTGCTTGTGATGGCCTAGTCGACCCATAATTGCTGGAATACTAGTTTATTTATTTGTACTACTCCGAAGAGGCTGGTTGGAGGTTGGCAAACCTAAAAGCAGTAAACCTAAGACTTGGGAACAGAGTTGTATTACAGAATGTACAGGAGTGTGGAGGTATTAAAATGTATCCTTCAAACTATAAACGTCTGAGGCGATGCTGTTTTATCCCTATGGAAGGAGAGAGTTGTAAATGATCACTGCTAAGCATGAAACACCTCACCTTGCCCCACAGTCTCCGTTTCTGGTAGTATGGTTTATAAGAGAAGAGGCTAACAAACTAAGAACTACTCACGAAGCGGCCGTATTTTGTCGATTTCAGTTGGCTGCTCCTTAAGATACTGAGTCACACTTTCAGGTAATCAAGACCCAATCCAGATTCTATAACATATCCCTCAATAAAAAGTACCTTCTCATAGTGTGAGCAACCGAAGAAAGGAACTTACATATCTGTAACAGCGCTCCAGGTCACTTTGTTCCCAGTTAGACTCAATGTGTCCTCTTAGTGGATTGCAACAAGTACAATACCTAAGATATATGGTTTCGTTCTGATTGTTTATAAACACGAAATAGTTCAGTGCAATAAAATTATTCAAAACGTATTGTGTTAAGATGCTATGAAGTTCTGATAAATGTCGTCTGTTGATTACCTATTATACAAAAGAATATTGAGATAGCTCTTGTGGTAAGCGATTAGAGCTACAGTTCCAGAATACAAGAAATAACAGGTTGATCAGATAACAAAGTAAAAAGACCGTGAGCTTTCCACCATGGCATTTGTGTTGCATCTAGATGATACCATGGAAATATGAAGTGAAACCCTGTGAAGCTCCATGGATTTTTGTAGAATCTTTACGAACTTTAGATACCCACCGGTTCATACCAAAAGATTGGGAATACAGCAATTTTTTAGGTATCTTACACATAAAATCTCAACACTTGCTCAAGAACAGCAAAACTTAGTGTTCAGGACGTGGTAACAAGTTGAAAGCAGTGAGTTTAATAGAACGCCAGTAAATAATCATAAAAAACGTTTTGGGTGGTGGACAGGGAACTCTGAAGAACAGTTCAACTGGTCCATGTCCCGAACAACATCAAGTGACCATACTATGGTCCTTGGTCGGTGACTAACAATTCACTTAAAGAAACGAACACCCAGGCCCACTCACAAGGAAGATGCAGTTTTCTGTCCAAGTCACGTAACTCAGTCTACTGATGACAATCCGAATGGTTACCATCATGGAACACTTTCTTGGGTTGAATATATTTTACAAATATTGTTGGAGGGGCTTACATGTCGTTCACTACTGTGTTGACACTAAAACTATGTGGGAAAAACGAGGTCAATCTGTGACATGGGACAATAAAGTTGTATTTAATTGGTATCTGTTGGTCATCATGACTACCTGGCTGAAATCTTACAAGTGATTGTCTTGATATGTTGGTAAAAATAACTCAGAATAAAAGTCAGTGGAGATCATTTCTCAGCTTTCTATTATATTCACCTCAGACAGGAATAACTTGGTGCAAACATGTTCATGCTTATTTTGATTTAACTAGAAGTATTTTGCTTTGTTTCTTATGTACCACTTAAAAGTGTTAATTCAATTCAATTATTTATTGTCTGATGAAGTGGCTTACACTAAGCTGTGAAACCTCAGAAGTTCAATTTTCTATTCATTGGAATATTAAAAATGACACTATTTTTATTATCAACAATCCACCCAATGCTTAATTTGTTTAAAATTATCAGGTTGAACTTAGGTTATGATACTTAAATTCTACTCTTGTTTGTTGTTTACTGATTGTATGCCTTTCCCCTCTTTTTCTTCTATGTTATTTGTCTTGTGCGCTATTGCATTAAGCTTTTTACGTATCATAAATAAGTTGGCGTGAGTTAACAATACTTCGAAAATTCGGTATATTAATTGCGAGATTGTGAGCCTTAGTTGAATACAGTGGTTTAATAAGTCTTATAAATCCATAAACAAGCATGTTCAGCATTTAAGACTAAGGAAACAAAGATGTGGTATCAGTCTAAAAATTTTGACTATTAGCACGGGAGAGCAAACTTCATGGGAAATATCCATAAGGTAACCACAACAGATGAACGCATTATATTCCATACAGTAACATGTGATAAATGTTATTGCTTGATTCTATCAGTTTTTTTTCTTCTACATATCTACTTCTGTCTATTGTTTTTACTCCGCTTTTCATCTGTTGAATTTTTCCAATTTTCATGTGAAAAGTGGGGAAACAAATCAGTTTACATTCATGTTGCGTAGTACATGGTAATAATCATTTATCAGTCCAACGAAGTTTAAGGTTTACTGTCTAACTTGATTTAAATGTTCTTAGTTGTGAAACGCATCTTACTAATGAGGCAATTTATCTACTAGATGACAAGAAATTAAATAGAGGATATTGTTACAGTCAAGTAAATATTTGTATAAGAATCCCAAAGTTATGCAATAATCGGTGAAGTACTTCAAACTCGTTCTCCATGCCACAAGATCAAAAACAATCCATAACCACAAATATAGAATGAGTTGACTAGCCTGCAAAGAAATGTATGTATTTGAGATATCAACAGACCAATACACAGAAACGGATGAAAACTGTATGAAGTTTAGCGAATCGGTCACACCAGGTTATCTAACAAACAGGCTTCTATCAGTACCTAGAGCTTAGCAGTGTCAATAGAGTGTAGCTTCGATAGTGCAAGATTAATAAACACATGGGGACAGATTTGGGCTACTTATTTATTTATTATTTTACTTAAACACAAACATTGGTACAAAGAGAAATGTGCAACACAATTTATTGGATTCGTGTGTGCGCTGAGATACTGCCTGGGTCCTCAAACAAGCAGGTGGTTTTCTTAGAGAGCCTTTGACCCAGAAATTTGATCCACAAGGCAGTGGAGCAACGTTAAGTGGTGCAGTTCCACGGTGGTCTGTGAGCAAAAATAGGCTCGAATGCCATTTTCCCTTAGGATCCTGGGGCCCATGCGCACCACTAGTTTCGAATCAGGGTACTCCAGATCCCCCAAGTGGATCCTCGGTATCAACCAACCCGGTTAAAGCTCCGGACATTCGCCTTTCACCCTCAGTTTCGTAAACAACAAGCCGGCTGAGAGAAAACAATGAGTAGGACTTCACTGGCAGTGGCTATAAACGCTTGGCCATATGGGAGCATTTTGAGAACGCACTTCCCCCACCCTCAGCCATATCATGGCATTCAGGAGGGTGAACTAACGAACTTACGGTTAACGATTCAGTCTAGATGCTGTCATCTGATCTACTAAGCTGCAAAAGAAGACAGTTTACAAGTGATCTTATATTATACAATCATCAGTACAAACAGATTTTAGTTCTTCAATAAGTTTGCGAGATGTACAAGGAGGTGAAACTGCTGAACTAAGTCTAACTGGAGATGGCATTATTACTTCACGAAATTCGCTTTCTGATTCTGAAGATGAATCTTCATTCTCAGATGATGAGCCTGAAAAATTGACTGGAAGTTTCAATTGTTCATCGTTTTCACCGGAAGGTATTAGCAAATCCTATAAGCAAAAATAAAAACTACAATAGTTCGTAACCTTATAAAAAGGGCATATTAGAATATAATTCATAAGAAACGTACTAACATAATGTCTGAGGAAAACTAAGTTAACTCGACAAATGAAGTACTAGGGACCAATAAAAGTCACCTAAGGGTTATCAGTTGGTAATTGTGTCAGTTCAAAACAAAAGAACTCACCATCGTTGAATTATTCTTCCTAAATGTTTATTTTAATCAGGATATTTATATATCGGCGTGCGTAATTAGATGAGACGACGTTTCGCCAAAGCTCTGGAGTTCTCATAAAGACTCTCCACTAAGTTCATATGCTGTTTGGTACGCTTTTAAGTGACGTACTACCGTACGACTTGTTGACTAACAGATTCACGAGAGGAAAGTCTATGTCCTAGGGGGCACTTGATTTATGTAAATACAGGATAATGGAAAGACTTATAACAAGACTAAAATAGGTGTGCACCCACAGAACGGTCATGCCTTGAAAGTGCTCACGAGATTACAGCTATTAAAAAATCTGGAGAACAATAAGAAGTGAGGATGATCATTTTGATCTCCAAGCTGATCTGGACGAATTAGTTAGATGGGCTCGAGGTTGGGGCTTAGAAGTTAATTTTAGGAAGAATGGTACGGTAATAGCTACCAGTATACTACTGATGGTACATTTCTTTCATGAGTTCAGGAACATAAAAACTTAAGAGTTATAATAAGTCACGACTTGGAAAAAAACTACGCACTGCAACGCAGCTGTGGCCAAAGGATTTCGTGCGTTGTGGTCACTTCGCCGAGCATTCAAATGCTTTGACGAGATGTTCCGAATTTTATATCCCATCTATGTAAGACCACACTTAGAATACCGTATCCAAGCAGCTGGCCTATATCTCATTAAGGATACTAACTCGAGCATATTCAGCATGTGGGAACAAAATCAGCGAAAGGTCTTTCTAAACCCCCTTACGATGAGCGCTTGTGACGCCTACACCTTTCCCATCCTTCGTATCGTAGGATGCGAGGTGACCCTATATAAGCATTTCGTATCTTTAATTACAACTAGGGTGTTATTATGTCTTATCTTTTTGCTCCCTCCAGCACTAATAATCCCAGAGGTCATAGCAAGGTTCACAAACCTCGATCTAATAAACTTAAAGTGAGGTTTCGTTTTTCTCATCAGGTTGTCAATGACTGGAACACTTTGCCCGATCAGGTGGTATCAGCCTCATCAGTGAACATTTTCAATGAGAAGCTGGACCTTCACTGGAAGACAAACTGTCAGCATTAACAAAGGTCCACGAATATACTATCTTTATTACTGAAGACTAAACTTGACTTAAGTTATACTGCTTCAGTAACAGATTTTAATAGGGTCGACAACAAACGGGAAGCCAGAACTCGATCCCAGTATGTGGTGTTGAATCTCCTTCCAAATCACTAGCTGACACATCTAAAACAATCTCCTAGTGAGGACATTTTATGGAGAATCAGTTGGAGTTTCCGTACGAGGCCTTACATTTCTAACACTCGGAGTAGTTTTAAACTACAGGCTGGAAGTGACTTCATAAGATTCAATGCGTTCAGAGCAACCCTACATATTAGACTCTCTCGCAATTTTTTAACTGCACAAAATATATCAACAAGGCTCTTGGAGAATAATGAAAATTACCACTTAAACCCAAGCAATATTTTTGTCATCCCTTTGGACAAATTCCGGACTATATATATAGCCATTGGAGTTTATAATGATACTTCAATTCATTTCCATTTTAAAGCATTTTACGACCCGGAGTTCTCTAGTCGTGACCATATTAGCTTAACAACGATGACTCGAGTGATTCATGGGTGATTATAACCTTTACGCTCCCCAATCAACCGAACAAATATTAGCTCTTAAGTAGTTGTGGGATAGATAAGGTCTTAACGTATGGATATCGTCCATAAACTAAATGGTTAAAGTATAATTTATGGACGACCTTAAAGCGATGCCAATGTTGTCCACCTACTGATTAGAGCTAAATGAGGGGTTTAAACCTGTGTGAAGGATAAGGATTGTGACTTACAGTTGATGGTTAGGTATTACATCTAGGGGTTTCATCACGAACTGATGTAAGCTAAGACGCCAAGACGTTATTTAGCCGAATGAATAGAGAGTTTGGCGCAAAAATCCAAGATCTATTATTGTAAACCTGATTGGTTCGTCCATAAATTATGCTTTCGCTAAGTAACTGTCTACCAAGTCCGGTGCAAGATAAGTTTGGAGAAAACTCTTGAAAAGTAGTTCCAGAGAATCTGGTCCAAAATGGCGCTTGTAAGTGAATGAAGGGCTCAAAATAATGAATTGTAAAACATAATAGCTACAAACAGGGGTATCTACGATTCCCTAAGTTTAGCGTACGAAGTGAAAAATACGGTAGCTGTATTTTATACTGTCCAATAGATAGTAAAATTTGCTCAATTTAAGTGGGATTGATGAAATAATCAACAATTTACTAACTAATTCAATGTATCGACCATCATCAGCTTCACCTTCCATTGAATCAACTTTGACTTTTTCGGCTTCTTCAATTAAACTAGTTACCCTTGATATGACTATACAGTAAGGAAATGAGGGTACCTTACTTTCTCTTGTTCGAGAACGATCTAAAGGCTGTCGATTTATTTTCAGGTCCGATAACTTCATAACTGTAACACATACCTTTAATTTAAGCGGACTGCTATCAGTCTTCAGTTTTCAGTAATAAGAATAGTAGGTTGGTGAACCTGCATTGATCCTGACACATTGCTTTCCAGTGAAGGTCCAGCTTCTCATTGAAAATGTTCACTGATGAGGCTGATACCACCTGTTCGGGCAAAGTGTTCCAGTCATTGACAACCTGATGAGAAAAACGAGGTTTGTGAACCTTGCTATGACCTCTGGGATTATTAGTGCTGAAGGGAGCAAAAAGATAAGACATAATAACACCCTAGTTGTAATTAAAGATACGAAATGCCACGAAAATTCATCTCGTGTCCTACGATACGATAAGGGGAAAAGGTCTAGGCATTTTAAACACTCATCGTAAGGGAGTCTAGAAAGACCCCTCACCAATTTCGTTCCAACACGCTGGATACGCTCAAGGAACTTGGTATCCCTTACCAGACACGGGCTAGCTGTTTGGGCACAGTACTTGGATACTGTACTCTAAATGTGGTCTTAGGTAAGTGGGATATAAAATTCGAAACATTTCCTCGTCAAAAGATTTGAACGCTCGACAAAGTGACCACTGCGCACGAAAACCTTTGACAGCGGCTGGTTTGCAGTGCGTAGTTGTTTTTAAATCATGACTTAATACTACTCCTAAGTCTTTAGGCTCTTGAACGCATGGAAGAGGTTTACCCTCAATAGTATAACGGTAACTATGACCGTGACTGATGTGCATTAGCACACTCTTCCTAGCATTGATTTCTAAGCCCCACTCTCGAGCCCATCTAACTAAATCGTCTAAGTCAGTTTGAAGATCCAGATGATCATCCTCACTTTTTATTGTTCTCCAGATTTTTACATCATCCGCAAACAATAATGTCGACGACCTAAGCAACAGCGGTAACTTATTAACGTAGGGAAGGAAGAGCAGAGGGCCTAAGATGGTGCCTTGTGCTACATCACTTTTGACCGGCTTCCAATCGGATAGCGTCCCACTGACCCTTTTTCTCTGTCTGCGGTCACATAAGAAGTTACCTATCCACTGCTGTACAGTACCTATTATTTCGAAGCTCGTGAGCTTCTGCATAAGACCTAAGTGTGAAACCTTGTCAAATACTTTGCTGAAATCCATGAATATCACATCGACAGGCAGGCCTTCATCTAAGGCTGCTGTCCAATCCTCTCTCGCAATAAGCAAGTTAGTCAAGCATGAACGCTTGTTACGAAATCCGTGTTGCTCAGGAGCTAACAGATTGTGTAAATCTATGTGGCTTAGCAACCTAACCCGAATTATCTTTTCAAGTAACCTAATGACTATGCTAGTTAGGCTGACAGGCCGATAGTTAGGTACTATCTGTCTCTGACCGTCCTTAAATATAGGATTGACTATAGCGTCTCTTCAATCTGTAGGGAGTTGAGCGAGTGAAACGGACCTGTTGAAGAGTGTCGCGAGCGGTTTTGAAATGATGTCCGCAAGAGATGACAGCAACCGTGGATGTAACCCGTCGGGGACCGGTATCTTACAAGGTTTGAGGTTAGTTATCAACGGAAGGACAGCTTCCCCATTCATCTTTACATTTTCAATGACTGGTATCTCGGTGTGAGTGGCATAAGTATTTGCTACAATAAACGTAGAGTAGACTTCGCTAAAATAGTTTGAAAAAGTCTCCGATTTTGCTCGATCTGATTCAGCTAGTATATCTGAATTTTCGTGTAACAGTAACGGGGGAATACCATCACTACGTTTCATTCGCCGATTAACATACGAAAACAATCGTTTCGGACAAGTACGACTATCATATACTAACTTTGGTTCGTAAGTGGTACGGGATTTCGCTATGGTTTTCTTACAGATATTACGGAATGTTTGGTACTCACGTTTAAATGGTGCATGACCTGTCAACAAGAATAAGTCCCAGAAGTGCTTCCTACGCTTCAACAGCTTCCGGGTTTCCTTAATAATCCATGTAGAGCGATGTGATAGCTTACGTGTTGACCATGGGATAAACGGCGACGTCACGAACTCGAATGTAGTCTTAAACTTATTCCAGTCGTTTTCCATCGACCCATCTGCGTCGACCGTCCAATCAATCGTGATAGCACAGTTTCTGATTGCCGGAATATTGGCTCGCCAGATATTGGGACGGGGTGGAGCAGTTACGAATTGTATACCATGTGTCCTAAACTTAAAGTGAATTACAACGTGATCACTGTTCACTAGTGGAGAAAGGTGCTGAATATCAAAGACATCCTCACAGTGATAGGTGAGGGCGAGGTCAAGTAGTGACGGATCATGATTGAATCAATATGTGTCGGCTTTGTGATACATTGTACAGGTGCACACTGAATAACGGTAGATAAAAGGTCGCTATCGAAACCACTACCTGGAGCTGTAAGTTCTATCCAGTTGATATGCGGTGTGTTGAAGTCCCCAATGATGAGACAACATTCTGCCATACTCCAAGAACAGATGTGCCTTAGGATAAAGTCGTCTGCAAGAAATAACGGACTACGGTATATTCCTCCTATAGTCACTAACCCATTTCTAGATTTTATCTTACAACATGCAACCTCACATGTGCCACTGATATGAGCATCTGATATGGTTGATTGTATACGAAAGTGATCCCTAACGTATAATATTATACCTCCCCCTTTGCGACTTAAAACTCTATCACTTCTAATACAGATATAGACTGCAATAAAAGGAGAGCAGTCTATATCTACGGTGACCCAAGTTTCTGTAACAACGTTTATATCGGGACATAATTCTTCCACCATCAGACTTAGCTCGGACGTTTTATTTCTGAGAGTACGTGCGTTCGTGTAGCACACACTTAAGGTGTTTTGGCAATCAATCGCCCTACCCATACAGGCTTCGGAAGCATTGGCTTCCAAGAACTGACCATTCGAAAACCCTTAATGGTAAGGTTATTTTCGCCATTTAACTTGCGGGTTCTCAATTCAGTAAGAGCATTCTTCCACTTGATTCGATCCTCAAGCGGCCAATCTGGTCGAATACGGATATTTGAGTTTTGTTTTTCATTAATATGTCTCTTTCTTCGGAACTCCGATATATCCTATATTAACTACTTATGTCACGAGCAGGCAATAGGTTCAGTTTCGTTTTGGAAAGGATGGGATACTAGGTAGCTTGTGTTTATCTTGATAATGACGGTCTTTCAATTGACTCAACCTTCTTCCGAAAACGTTGATAGATGGAGTGTTGAGGTAGGGAATTTCATTTACTTAGGATTCGATGGGAAAGTCGATGGTCAGCTGACAAGTTATTTGTTCTGAGCTTTCGAACATTTTTGTAGTGCCCTTACAAATTCTCTATCCTGGAAGACAAGAAAAATGGAGCCAGAACAGCTGCAGATTTAATAGGAGACTAATGTTTTGAGCTATCGTCCTCATTTTAAGAAACAACATCCAATCCTTAGTGCCATCCGACGAGTTAGTTCTAGATACTATCCTGCACTACTTCTATTGATTAAAGCGGGTATTCTCAGTTTTCGGTTGTACGAATAGGAGATCAATCAACCTACATTAATTGTAACCAAAAGGGAATAAAGATGCCACAGATATTCGGAGTTTGACAACGCTTTAACCAGTAACACCTTCTAATATGAAACGTACCCACTAAGTGAAATCAAAAGACAGAAGCGAGGAGGTTCGAAGATATATTTGATAGGTTATCAATATATCGAGAATTGTCTGATCTGATCTGACTAGCGATTGCAGAGTTTGTTGAGCACGGCCTTCTCACTCGTGATCTGATTAAAGCGTTGTCAATCTCCGAATACCCATGGCATCTTCAAGAACATTGAAAATCCCTCCACAGAGTTTTGTTGGACAGCACTGTCATTTATTTGTTTCTCCTCCCTGTCGTGTATTTTCACCTTTGTTCAGATCTCGTTTACCACACCTTTTGTTCTACAGTCTTCCTCGTCTGAGCTTTCATTATGTGATTTTAGTTGAAGACTTATCTCTCGTCACCTAATTTTCTGTTGCGTGTTGCCAGATTATTGACAGTAGGGTCGTGTTTGACTAAGCTTAAGGTAACGGCGTGGTTCAGTGTGTGGCTGTTAAGCCTATGTCTGTCTGCTTGGGAGGATTACTGGGATCCCTGCAGATTAAGATTTGATCCCATCTTGTCGGGAGTACTTTTATCGATTCTCAGGTATCAAAGCTTTTGGTATTAACTGTTTCTTTTATTGTTTAGCGCGCTACTTTGCGTTAGGAAAACTTTTGACTATATCGCACAGGCTGTACCGTTTGAGGTATTTTGTATTTTTTATATAATTTGTTCTATTTCCTGAATTGGAACCGTTTAAATTGAGCACAGAGTTTGTGTTTTGAAATAATTTAATACGAGTATTTTAAAAACGCTTCGTACGCTATACAGAAGAACGTAGTCTGGCCTATTTGAATAAATTTTGGTCCGTCAGTCCTGCATTCAAGCCGAATACCGGCAGTTCAGTCGTTACATTAATCCTTTGATTTTTTATATTGCTATGAAAATCACGCCTTGCTTCAAGTATAGTAATAGAAACTGCTGACATTACATGTTCTGGTAGATCTCCGTAATTCATTGCTTATTACAAGGAAATCTGAGCTTAAACTATTCAATCTCGGTTCTGAACTTTCCTAGAATTTCCTTTCAGATGATCAGGGCTAGATGAAAGTAAGAAGTGAAACATATTAGTAACGATACCCAAGTCAAGTAAAGGGTAGCCAGTTATAAGTCACCTAGTAACCGGAGCTAAGATAACAGAAATAGTTTGATACATCTCAGATTGTCTCTGTAAGATGAGTCAGCTAGATATTACATCATTTCCGTCCTTCTTCTTTGGACTCATTCTAACCTATACACTGCAATCTTGGAAAAGGGTTCACCGCTTGGATAAATACAGCCTCACAGACTTCGGATACAAAACACCCAATATTTCTCCATTAAGGTAATCAACTGACCTACAAATAGCCCACAATACCCTAAAATTGTTGTCA